CGGGGAAACGGAGCCCTCCGATTGGAGGGTCGCTCAAACGATTGACTCCAAATTAGTGATGCATATACAATAACACATCGTACAAGCGAGCAATAAATTGTTTTTATTGTAGTAGGGTTATTAAATTGTTGAGTGTTCCTATTGAGTAGTCTAATGGTAAGTGTCCACTTGAGATTAAATAGTCTCGAGAGCAGTCTCGAGACTTAAGTCACAAATGTATATGAACCTGAGAGTACTCGCAGAGACAAGTCATTACTAATCACCGAGACTGCATGTGTCGCAAGTGGACACGTTCATTCCTACTCTTGAGATCTAGTCTCCAGTCTTCCGATAGTGTTTGAAGAGCTGAGAGCACCAGTGTTATTTACCATAATATTTACCATAATATATACATTTTTTTAATTATTATTTATTCAAATTAAATTAAATTAATTTAAAATGAGTGCACGTCAATGGACAGATGACGAAATTTTTGTGTTAATTAATCTTTACGAGGAAAAGGAATTTTTGTGGAATGTTAATCACAAGTTGTATAGGAATCGGGACAAGAAAACGAGTGCGTTTGAAGAAATCGCGACAAAATTTAATTGTGATGTTAATGAGGTATAAAGAAAGATACATAACTTACGTAATCAGGTGTGTATATTAATTGTTAAGTTCTATATTTAGTATAAAATAATTTAAAAATAATTAATAATATTATATAATAGTTTATATAGTAGTTTAATATTATTTTTATTCAATTGAACTTTTCAGGTTTCACACGAACTTCAAAAGATGAAAAAGGTGAAGAGTGGTGATGGTGCAGATGACAGATATGAAAGTAAATGGAAGTTTTTCTCTGCATTGAAGTTCATTGTACCCTGCTTTATACCAACAAAAACTACGTCAAACATGGTTAGTATAATATTTAAATAATTTGTATTTATGTCAATAAAATTGTATGTACTTATAATTATTCAACATATGAATTGATATTGCCATTGAACCTCACCAGCAGTTGTCATAAAATATTCTCTAAATTCGTCTCTCACATCTTTTTGAGATATTGAATAATTCCGCTGCCGTCCCCTTTCTAGTGGAAACAATGTTCCTTCTGGTTGAAGTTCATTTCGCCATTCGCCATTTACAATTTCACGAGTAATAGGATTTTCCGAATCAACCGAACCCGGGCACAAATAATAATTTGATGTAGAAATCAAAAAGTTATGCAATGCACATGTTGCCAGAGTAACATATTTTACTTTGTGAGGCGCTAAATGTATTGGTTTACGGAGGATTCTGAATTTACTGGACATAATGCCAAATACATTTTCTATAATACGGCGAGCCCTGCTTAGTCTATAGTTAAAAATTCGGTTCGGCGCAGGTTGATTTCGGAACCCATAGGGCTTTAAAATGTATGACGTCATAGCAAAGGCATCATCTGCTACCATTATGTATGGAACTGGCAAATGTCTTTGAGGTAGTGCTTCTGGTTCGGGAAGAGTTAACTGTTTGCTTTCCAAAGCATCGTGTAGGGAGCAGTTATTGAATACCCCTCCGTCAGAAATTCTACCATTGCATCCAACATCAACATAAATTAATTTATAATTGGCATCTGCAACTCCCATCAAAACAATGCTGTGTGTATTCTTATAGTTATAGTAAAGGCTTCCACTATTTTGTGGAGCCACTATTGTAATATGTTTGCCGTCAATTGCTCCAAAGCAATGTGGGAATTGCCATTTTAATGCAAATTGATTTGCACATTTCTTCAATTCTTCTGTGCTAGAAGGACACTGAAATAAAAATACATTATTGCTTAAAATAATTATAAAAACAAATCTAGCTTAAGTCAATAAAAAAATTTTACGAGCGTCTAAATTTTAAATTTTTAAGATTATAGAAATTTTAAAATTTTAAATTCAAGTGTAAAATAACGATTTACTATAAAATGGTTTTAGATATTATTATAATATATTATTGAATTCAAATATTTTTTTATTAATATATTATATTGGCCCAGGTCATTTACTTGTTTGTTGTTACCACAACACACATTCTTTATTTTTTAATTTCTTACTTTTCAGAGTATCCAGAAAAACTTAGAAAGTTCGCAGAGTGAGCCAACCCTAAATGAACCAACACCGAGTAAAAAAAAAGTTTCCAACAAAAGGCAGTCCCAAACTAACGATGATGAAGATACATATTTAAAGGAAGCCATTCACATTATGAAAAAGCCGAAAACCGATTTTGAGCGCTTTGGAGATTACGTCGCTTTGGAATTAAAATCTTTAAAATCAGATTACTACAGAGGGCTACTGAAAAGTGAGATTCGTAAATCAATAGCAAATATTGCTGAAATGGACGAAAGAAGCCACTGGTCTACCTATTCAAGTACAAATTCTTCATCATGCTCCACCCCAATGCCTACGCCATCACCTACTTTCGCTGAGAACATTCCTCCGTCAACAAGTAAAGAGCCTCAGACAACCCAAGAATATTATGATTCATTCACTGATTTGTTTTAAGTAAATATAATAATTTAAATTTGTACTCTAGTTACGTAAAACAGTGATAATAAGTGATATTATGTAATAAAATATAAAGTTAAAAATGTTAAGTTCAAATCAAAATTAATTAAGAAATTGTTCAATAAAAAAAATAATAATAATACATGTTTATACATACCTTTAAATATTTTTCCTTTAAATTATCATAAATAGCTTGGCATACTTCGAAAACTATTCTTCCAATTGTACAAGGTGGAATGCGGAAAAGGTATTGCAAACTACTGTAAGCATCTCCTAAAAGAGAAAATGATACTTAAAACAAAAAAATCCAAAAACAAATATATATATATATATAATATAGGGTGTCCCACGGAGATTTACACAGAGCGATATCCCCCTTGTTAATAGAGATAATCGAATTCTGTTTTTTTTTATTTATTATTTATTATATATTTTACTTATAGAGCTAAAATATTTATTTGATCTAGTATACAACATACTATATATATAAAACCACATACGTACCTGAAGCCAAAAAACGGAGGGTGACCATTAATCTGTCATGAACAGGAATCGCTTCACGCAATTGTGTATCTTGCTTGACAATCTGGTGTTTTATTAAATCCAAAAGCATTTCAAATTGCACTGCAGACATCCGAATAAAATTTTTAAACTGCTGTGCATCCTCCAACCGAAGCTCATTTACAAGATTTGAAGCGGCTCCCAAGTCACTTCGACGGTCCACCCATTTCCTAACCCAACATTTCTTTTTTCTTTTTTCTTTTAGCTTCCGTTTTTGTACAATATTATGCGCAATTATAAAAGCTAGGGCCTGACGCGAATCCATTTTGTAAAAAAAGAAAGAAAAAACACTCAAATTTGTAAAAAAACACGTGTACACGCGGTCAAGTCCCACACAAGACTGTGTGTGTTAACTCTCTAGTCGACACGATATTGTCTTGGTCTCGAGATTAATGTCACTTTCGAGTCTCCAAAACCTATCTCGAGACCGTGATTGATCTCAAATGGATAACATCCCGAGATCAATCTCGAGACTTTCTCTCGAGCTATAATCTCAAGTGGACACTTACCGTAACATTTTATAAAATTTGCTGAGCATATTTTCATGATTTTGTTTAAAGCATATATCTGAGCTAAAATGAACACCAAGATCTTTTATTGAATGAGCTCTATTTAAAACTGTATTATCTAATGAATAACTGTAAACAATAGGATTTTTACCATGAGTAAAAAAGACAACTTTACGTTTCCCTATGTTTAAAGGAAGAAAATTATTTTTTTTCAAAATTAAAAATTTATCCATGTTATTTTGCATGTGATAAAACTCGCCCCTGCAGAGTAGATAACATTTTATATTCATAGTTTAGAATTTATAATTTAATAAAAGGCTGCTTACAATGGTCAAAAAATCGAACCTTATTACATAAAAGAATTTACGAGCGTCTAGTTTTGATTAACACGAAATAAAAAATTTTACGCATACGATAACGGTTTACTATCAAATTATTTCAGAATTTTGGTTAAAATTAAAAAAGTACTTTATAGTCGTAGAAACTTGAATTAAACAATTATATCATAATATGTGTAAATAATATCAATATAAACATTTGGTGCAAATTTCAAGTATTTAGAATTATTATTTGTTGAGTTACACTAAAATTAAATTATCGATTTGTCGAAAATTGGTTTTGCGTAAAAAATTCCCGTTTTTCAGTTATTTTTTTATGGTTTTTCCCGGCGCTTTTGAAAACTATTGAACATTTTTTACTTTTGACCTCTACAATGCACCAACGGCATTCACTTGCCTATCAGAAACGGGGCTAAGTCGAAAAATCGAAGCACTATTACTATCCAAAACCTTGCTGACAGACACAAAAAAAAAAAAAATAAATAAAAAAAACACACATCATTGTAAAATCAATACATTCATCACTCAGTTCAGAATCTAAAAAAAATTGTTTAGATCGTACGTTTTCCAGTTGAGTTTTGTCAACTACGATATTATGTGTTTTAATTTGTGTAAATACGATAGTAGGAACTATGAATTCGAATAATATTATAAAACCGAAAATAATCTAATTTATTATTATACTCATTGACAATATTATTATTTCGCGTCGACGAATAGGTTATTTATAAATCGTGCGTGGCTGCGATAAAACTGGTTTCGGAACTCGGTGAGGTATTTTTGCATGTGCACGCGGTGAGGGGGTTCTGAGGACGGTTTTAGAACACTGCCGCTATAGCCGCGTAGCATCAGCGGACGGCTGTAATTTCGACTGATAAACATGATTTTGGTGGCAAATTAAACATGAGAAGTTAAACTAATAACTATTGGATTAGAATTTTGATACTTCAGTTTGTTGGATTTTTTCGAGCGATTTATTTCCGTGGCACGTCCTCTTTAGGAAACATTTTCTAATTTTCAACGTCGATTTATTTTCCATTTATATTTTTCATTTTTGTGGTTTTATTGTGTATAAAATGGAATATAATGGCTATACATACGATAATAATGGCAAAAGAAAAGGAATCACGTAAGTACCCACTTAAACATAATATACTACCTAATTTATTATATTATAATAAAATAGAATACCTAATATAGGTACCTACATAGGTGGTGATCTAGGGGGGCTTACGGGGGCTTGCCCCCAAAAATAAATAATTTGAAGCTTAAGCCCTCTTAAAAAGCATGCTACCAAACATTAAAGCCCCCTCAATATTTCACAGGATCTCCTATGGGTACCTAGATAGTCTATATCATTTAACACTACCTATATTATGTATAATGTAGTTCTCTTTAAACTGTAGGTATTTTATTTCATAAAAAGCCAGGGCTTAGTGGTAAAAATTCCATGGGTGACTACAATGTGTCCATAAAGTTTTAAACATTCCATAATATATAATGTTATGTATAATGTCTAATGCATATAGTATATGACATATGTAGTGTATAAACAGTCCCACTTTTAACCCTGAATAATGTTCAAATTTGTAATTTATTTCATGTAAAATAGAAATTACAAATAATACTCCATGACTACTTATAAATGTACATGACTTATATATAAATAATACTTTGGAAAAGAATATTTTTTTCAGTAATAATTCACAATAGTAATGATATTAAGTTGTAATTAGTGGTTGTGTTTTAACTGTTTTAAGAGAGCTAAAGAAATCACCCAGAAAAAAAAAATATTTATTTCATAAAAATGTAGTGTTTTTAGTGCTTTAATGAGTATAAATTGTACAAAAATTCTAATTCTACACATGGTATGGTAAGCATACTTGAAAAATCACATATTCAAACTTTACCGATATCGGATATATATATTATAATATTATATATTAATATATGAATCTGAATTTTACATTAATTTATAAACAGCTATTTTACAGTGAAAGAATTATAAATACTTAAATAGGAACCATATTACATAATATAATGTTATATTATATGTTATCGGCTAATTGAACACCTATTAATCACAGTATATTTAATCACAGCCATTAAACAATAACTATTCAAATCAATTATTTTTACATATATATTAGGTCCTTAATAGTATTAAATAAAGTAATAAATGTAAAGTTATAAACCAAGATTTAATCTGGAATTCTGAATGTTTGGTTATAATTATAGGATTCTTGCATACCTTACAAATAATTTGTCAACGGGGACATTTTTCTAACCGGTACTGTGACTGAGACCCCCCCCCCCCTATTTTAATCCTTGTAGATACCTTGGACTTAAGCAACTATTAATTTCTTTTTTTAATAAGTTTTCTTAATACCACAACTGTCAATAATACATTAATTTAATAACAAAATAATACTTATACAGCCATTATAATATGATGATACATTTTTTTTTTAATTTACAGTTATTATAAATGTGCCAAGTCAAACAATGTTTGTTGCCCTGGTACAGCGAAAAAAAATGTGGATGGTTCAATTGTGGAAATTAAACCCCACCTACCCACGCATATAAGATCCATGAATGAAAATGGTAATCTGATGAAGATATTCAAAAATATATTAAAGAATAGAGCTAAAAATGAAAATGTATCATTGAAATCCATATACGATGAAGAATCGCGAAGGTAATATTATATAAAATTGAAAAACATTTTTATCTTTCTATTCATTGGCAATATTTTAAAATAATATACCTCCTCTTTAACTGTATCAGGCATACTGTAGCCGCTGCTTTATATCCATGGTCAAGTGCTGAGAGCATAATGCGTTTTGCTAGAAGATCTTCGTTACCAACTCTCCCACAATCACTTCAAGATTTGGCCACACAGTTTGATGATGGAAGTTTAAATAGATTTACTTGTTGCGATATAATCCTATTTCAGGGATGTATAACTGATACTGATGGTAAATAACCAACAATAAAATATAAATTAAATTATTTATATTTTTACCAACATTTCTAGTTTTTTGAAATAATGAGAATTGCCATGTTTATTGTATTATATTATTATAATTAAATACTATTTTTAAAACTTAATTACCTCTATGGATTACATTATTTATTACTTATAATTATAACTAGGAAAGAAAAGTGTTATATTTGCTTGTCGTCAATTGATAAATCATGTTTTGGCAAATAATATTACCGAAATTCATGCAGACTCAACTTTTAAAGTTGTTCCTGTCAATATGGGAAAACAATTACTGAGCATTCATTGCATGATTGAAAATTATGTAAGTAATTTTATGGAACTTAAAAATGTTATTTAGTTGTATACCTAATTAAAATAATAAATATAAATATTTGTTTTTAGTCCATCCCAATAGTATATGCATTGATGGAAACCAAAAGCAGGAACTCATATCAATGTATAGTAAATTTTATGAAAACCAATTTATTTCCGGGACTTAGACCTCGAATTATAGTCACTGATTATGAAAGTGCACTACGGGACACATTGCTGACTCTAGGTACAGAAGAAACTAGGGCAATAGGATGTTGGTTCCACCATAATCAGGTACCTAAACAGTCATAAAATAAGCTATCGCTATATTTTATTAGGACAGACCAAATTATAAATATTATAGAACAATGTTATACGTTTATAATTTAAATTTTAAATTCTATTAAGTTTGTATGTTATCCAGTCAGTACGAGGTCAGGCCTTTGCCAATATTTCTATAGTATTTTATAAATTATCTTTGGATAAAATAAATAATTGTAATAATTATTATTGTATCTAAAACAACTACAGTTAATTAAAATTTTTTTAAATAAATTCTATAGTAACTTTTTACTTGAACACATTAAAATATGTTGTATAATTTTATATTTTTAAAATTATAGGCAGTTTGGAAGAAAATGAAATCCCTGCATTACCTTAATTTGGTCAATTCGAACACTTTGGCGTTAAAGTCTTTAAAAATGCTTATGTCTTTACCTCTTCTCCCAGCCGCAAACATTGAAGAAGGTTTTATTCTTATAAAATCATTTGCCATACACCATGGTGTTCCTATGAACAATCTTTTCAATTATTATCAAAGGTAACAAACTGTTGTATTCAAAAATAATTTTTATTAAAATCATAAATATATTATAAATTTTATTATGTATAAAATAGGTATTGGATACAGCGTGTTGGCCCGAATGTATTATCAGTAAATGGCACTCCACGGAGGACCAACAATAACATAGAGAGCTTCCATAATGCTCTTAGATATAAGTTCTCGGTTACTCATCCGAGCTTGTGGGTTTTTCTTAGTAAGATAATATACTTTTATTTTTAAATTATTTATTGATTTTTAATTAATTTTTTTATAAATAATAATTAATCTTATTCAACGTAAATTAATTAGTTACCATTTCAAATGTATAGCACAGTCATTGTTTACAATAAAATAAATAATAATATATGAATATAACAAATAAAATGAGGTAAATTATATACAAAGTACACACACGGATACAGAATAACAATGTATAATATATATTTTAATATTATACAGGAAGTTATAGATAGTATATTTGGGTGAAAAAAATTGTGTTGTATTTAACTATAATAAGTAGGTAGGTACTATAATTTATATATTTCTAGTTGTTGTCGTATATTGTAGACAGTCGTCTAAATATTATTTCATATATGTAATAGAGGTGGGAACTTTTTATTGTAAACCATTGACATAGGTCAGTGAAGCATATGTGCTGAGACAGCTATAAGATTACTATATAACACCGCCGCACGCGCAGGCACGGGAGAGTCCCTTTGTCGCTGAGTGAATCGGCGAGAACGTAGGTACTGTGGTCGTGCGTGTGAAACGTCGATCGGAGTACGGGCTAAGCGATCTGAATTCGCCAAGTATATTTTATTTTGTGTTTGTTATTTAAATATAATAAAAGTGTTTCCGACCTAAAAACCCGAGTTGAGTTTTATTTCAAAGTCTTCTTCGTTCTTACCTTTAATATTGGAACAGTGCTCAGACCCACACACCTATAGTCAATGAGGTTTATTACAAACTGAACAGTGCTCTGGTTGTGGCGTCCTAATAGTCATTCCAATTTAGGAAACGAACGAAGAACTGACAAAACGCTACCGTCGTACCTCAAAGGTTAACAGTGCTAATCTGAATATATTCTAGAGACAGTCATTAGCCTAGAGCGTACGAGGGTAAGGTATAAAGTTGGTTTACCGCGTATTATCCAATACGGGTGATACCACATTGTCTATATTTGTGACAAATATTCAAAGCTGGGCAAGTAAACACTTTTATATAACTTGTTAAGTTAAGTTTAAAGTTAGTTTACTTTTTTATTTAACTTTTATAAGTTAAAAGTTAATTGGAAAAAATAAGTAACATAACTTAGTTAAAATAAGTTACTTTTTCTCCATATAAAACTAATAATTATACCTTATATCACCCGCATGTGTTGTCTTCGTCTTACATATGCGTAAGATACCAAATTTTAGACTCAGAAGATTAAGTTTAGCTCTGTTAGTTTAAAAATGGTAGTGAATTGACCTATTATAAAATTTAAGATAGTGATTACCCACATTGTTACCCGTTAACTGTTTTTTCTGTTTAATATCTATATTCTATATACTATACATATTATATTCTGTAAATAAGCAATAATTATAAAATGATTATTTATTTTTATATATTTTGACATTTTGTAAATTGTATTAGCCATTAGGTACTTGCAATTCCAGACGTAGTGAAGAACACTTTAGTCTATAATATTTATAATACCTATGCATAATAATATACACCATTTTTTTTTTTTTTTTACACTAAATGTAACTATAAATCTATGGAGTTTACACAAACAAAAAAAAAAAAACTTAACGTGACTATAAAATAAGTTAACTTGTTATGTTAAAAGTTCTTTAAAAAAAAAAAGTAACTTATTAAAATAAAAATAAAAGTAACTCGTTAAGTAACTTGGTTAAAAGTAACTAACTTTTTAATTTGTTAACGCAGCCTTGGAAATATTTGTAATTTGAATTTAAAAAGTCATGTTTTATATTACTTTCTATAGTAGATACTAGGTGCCATTAAAATTTAAAACTAAAACATTGTTTATTATTTATTTATTTAATACAGACTTTAAAAACTCTATAGAGTTATTGTTATAATTAAGAATATTTTTGCTACTTGAATAGGTAAATAAAAATAGGTATCTAGTATCAGGTAGACACAACACACCTATACCAATTGTTTACAATTATTTGATCTTTACATTTAAAGTTTTATGTCTTACCTTATATACTTTTACTTTTGTTCAGGTGAACTTTGTGGACTAAGTAAAAACTACCACAATATTGTAAGGCAATTAGATAACGGGTTACAGCCAACAAGAAATTTAAAATCAAAATTTCTGATCAATTCAAAACGAATAAAATTGGCTGTTGAACAACATGATGCAGGAATAATTAGTAGCTGGCAGTTTTTGGTAAAGTGTTCGCATTCTTCCACAACATATGAAGAAAGGCTAAGGCGTTGGGCATTGGACATTGAAGTCCAAGATATACTGCAAGATCAAGAATGTGAACACGAACAAGAGCATGAACCAGAAGAACAAGAACAAGAAGAACAAGAACAAGAACACAGACAAGATATACAAGTTCAAACAAACTCAACTTGCTTGACTTGTATGATAGTAACTGCTGGAAATAATGTTCCACAGTACATTGCTTTACCATGTGGACACGCATGGATATGTGAAACATGTGTCTCGATGTTAAACGAACAATACCCAAAACGTTGTCCAATATGTCGTGCTGATTGTGACACATATCAAAGAATTTTTTATGGTTGATTCTATGTAGCGCATGCTTATTTTATTATTTATGAAAAACATTTAAGTATTAATGATTCCTAAGTATTAAGTAGCCTTATTATTTAATATTATTTTTACCTATCAACACTAATTTGATGATGGACATCCATTCAAATGTTGAAATAAAATATAAGTTTAAATTAAATTTCATATTATAATATAGTTTGTTGATAACATTTTATTTTATTAATATAATTAATTATTATTAATTATTACAACTCCTAAGTCCTACTCTCCTCACAGCCATATGATTTAGTGAGAAGACAATTAATAGTAAGAAGTAATCATTGCTGTTATTGGTGAAATATATACATTAATATTATAAGCACGAATTTTTCTTATAAATATTTATACTACAAATTTTCACAACATTAGATAATAAAACGAAAATATTTAATTAAATAAACAAAGAATAAAAATTTTAATTATTTTGTTGTGATTTAAAAATCTTGTGGTGAGTATTTACTTGCCACTTTTGTAGTATATTACTATAATTTATACAGACAAGAGCTTTTCCTAATGGAATATTTTTGACAAAAATTAAATCAACCAGCAGTAGGTAATAGGTACCTACTATAATTTTTTTTTTTTACAACACGGTTCTGACATTATATTTTTCGTCTCAAATATGGATCTGAAAAATACTTTTCTCAAAATATATTTTCAGATATTTTACGCACTCCCCGTTTTATTTAGGTAAAGTATTTAGCAGTTTAGTAGTGTAATCAAACGATTGACTTCCATGAGGGAGCGCGTAAAATTTCCGAAAATATTTTGTCCGAACTGTATCTTGGCCGAAAAATATTTTATCCGAAAAATATACATTTAGAAAAGTATTTTGTCAGAACTATTTTTGATACGAAAAATATTTCATCCGAACCGTATTTTATCCGAAAAATATTTCATCCGAACCGTATTTAATCCGAAAAATATTTCATCCGAACTGCATCTTATCCGATAAGAGTCGTTATCATTTTGTTGTTATCAAGCAAAAATCTGTTATCTAAAATATGCGCGGCAATTCGTATTTTGATTTTTGATGGCTGAAACCCAATTAATTTGATGTTTAACTTTATACGTTGGTGCAATGAGATCTATTGTGCTTCACAATGCCATTGACCTTATTAACATAAGATCAGAGAATTTATGACATGATTTAAATATAATAGGTAGGTACTTTATTACAGTATAGTACTGTACTACTTCCATAGTACTATGAAAAATATCCAAATACAAAAATATAAATAAAGAATTATTAATATTCTCCTATAAATTGAAGAGAAAAAAATCTTTCTTCAATTCACTTTAGTATAATACTTTAGTATTTTATTTTTTACAGTACCTAGTATTGGTCCTTTTCAAATAATAACATTTGATAAGTGTACAATAATATGTATTATGTAAGTTATTTACCAGCGTGTATGCACATTATTATAATTTTTATTTAGTTATTTTTTCAGAGAGTATATTATAAGTCTATAAATACTTAATAGATAAGTCTATATAATTCTAGCTATAGGTAAAATGGTTAAAAAGTTACTATGGAAATATATACCTCTATAGGTACTGTTTGTATTGAATTAACTCATATTATGTAGGTAAATAGGTAATTAACTGCAGATAATACATACAATGCGTATGTATATCGTATCTAGTTTTTAAACCTAATAATTTGTGTATGCATTACATATTATCTAAGATCTTATTATAGATCAGGTAGCCACAAATAGCACACTACTAGGAGTACTGAGTATATTAATTTCAGTATAAATTAGTATTAAATATGATGATTATATATTTAATAGTACCTACTCCTTAGCACAATTTGAAAAAAATCATTTATAATTTTCTACTGAACATTTTGAGAACCATTGTTATTTATTCCGGATTATAACGGTCCGGGAATTTACATTCCGCAACTTTACGTTCCGGATAATGACGGTCCGGGATTTTACATTCCGGAATTATACGGTCCGGGAATTAACATTCCGGAACTTTACGTTCCGGATAATGACGGTCCGGGATTTTAAATTCCGGAATTTTACTGTCCGGGAATTTACATTCCGTAACTTAACATTCCGGATTATTACGGTCCGGGATTTTAAATTCCGGAATTTTACGGTCCGGATTTTACGGTCCGGGCTATAAAAGTCCGGAAAGTAATAATACGGAACGTTAAATCCCGGAATTTAATACCCCGGACCGTAATATTCCGGACCGTAAAATTCCGGAATGTAAAATCCCGGATCGTAACTTACCGGAAAGTAAAATTTCGAAACATAATACCCCGGAACGTAATATTGCGGAATTCAAAAGCCCGGACCGTAATAATGAGGAACGTAAAATTCCGGAATGTAAAATCCCGAACCGTTATATTCCGGAATATAAAACATAAGATCGTAATAATCCGGAACGTAATATTACGGAATTTAAAATCCCGGACCGTAATAACCAGGAACGTAAAATTCCGGAATGTAAAATCCCGGACCGTAATAATCCGGAATAAAAATAATAGTTCCCAAAATGTTTAGTAGAAAATTACTATTATAACTATTGACTTTTTTCAATTTATATTGAAATGTTTTTCTCTGTGTAGAAACTTAAAAATGAAATACAAAATTCATAAGTTATTCTAGCCGTAATTAAAAGATTTCCAAATACATGGTCACGAATTTTTTTTTATGAACGTTTAAAGTAAAAATATTTATAAAATTCGTCAAAATCATCAAAATATTTATTTATTTATTTATTTATTAATTAATTCACGGAATAAAAAATTCCTTATTTAGTATAGAACATAACAATAATTCAGTAAAATAAGATAGCTTACATATACAAGGGCGATGGCCAAAAAATACAGCAGAATAACAGGCACAGTAAATATAAACTAAAATAATTAGGACACAAGTAAAATTACATACAATAAATGTACAAAAAATAACACAATATTAAGGTAAACTGAGAAAGGAGGGGTCCTCGTTAGCCAAACGCATCATGCGGTCAATTGGTTTGTTTTTACCGTAATTGGTACAGTGGAGAGGTACAGTAAAAGGAACTCGATACCTTGTGGCCCGATGTGGAACTTTAAAGTTTACTTGGATAAGCAGTGAAGGGGCATTTAAGGAACCATCGATTAACTTTTTTAAAAAGGCCAGATTAGCTTTAACGCGCCTATCTGCTAAAGATGTAAGGCTAAGTGCGCGCAATACTGGAGTATAGTCGTGAGGAGGATGGACAATTTTTAGCATGTAAGCTGCAGACGACAGAAAGCGTCTTTGTACACGCTCTAAGTGGCAAGAATCAATAACCACAAATGGGTCCCAGAGCACAGACGCATGCTTCGGACTAAAGAGCAGTAGACAGTCTTGAGAGATCCAGACAGCTTGAACTCATTCATGTTTTACGAAGTAAAATATGTAAATTATTTACTCTACCTAGTGAAAAATTCATATAATCATAAATTTTAATTCCAAAAGCGTGAAAATATAATTCAAGTATTGATTAAAAAAATAATTATAGCGTTAAGTTCAAATGTAAAATATGGAATTTCTCTTCAAACAATTTTTGTTATTTTGTTGTCATTCAAAAAGTATTAATCGTAAAAACTTTAAACATTCCTTTATTACTATAATACTTAAATATTTTACAATTTTCATAGCCGTCCCAAGGGGGTTAGGCAAATGGGGCAAGTTCTCTTGGGCGTCTTAAGTATTATGAATTTAGGGGCCGTCAAAAAAATTAATGATAAAAAGAAATATTTGGTGTTTTTATTTTAGGTATTATTTTTCTTTTTATACTGTAATATCAAAGATGATTACCTATAAAATTGTATACTATTAAATATAAAATTATGTAAATAATGTGTTAAATCTTATATAATCAATATATTTTAAATAATATGTATACACACCATTAAAATAATTAAGTAATATACTTATAAACTAAACTAATTTATATCTTTGGAAGTATTAAAAATGTTCTTCACTTGAAAAGGCCTGGGGCCCCTGCAGTCTGTGGGCCTCAGTGATCAACAACACCCACCCCAGGGTAGTTTTGCTACTGTAATTATTATACCCAAAGATATATGTATATTATGTTATAACTATAAACCTTATAAGTATAAGGTATCTATGGTAATAACTTATAACAAATACTATATCGTCGGCCTAATTCGCAAAAGTCGTATCTCCTTTTTTTGTCATATTGGGATTATTTACTCATAAAATAAAGATAAAAAACAGCGTCTGTTGATACAATCAAATTTCCGATTTCATAATATTATCCTCCATAAAATTGATAATTAGAAATCGTGGTATCTCTAATTAATAATATGGCCGTAAAACGTTTTTTTCTTCTTCTGAACAATTTGTAATTTTGGACATACGACCTTTGCGAATTAGGCCGACGATATACGATCGTATATACTATATAGTATTTGCTTATAACCAACTCATTATCAATTTGACCTGCTCTTAAGATAAATCGAGTTAGAGTAGTTTGACTGAATAATGTAAATTATATTCACTTGTTCAATTTACCATGTTGACTGTTATACACTCCATACGCAGAAACGCAGAACGTATGATTTATAATATCTACTAATTTGTGAAAATAGTTAGGTATATAATGTTATATGCCCACCACTATAGAGACTATAGAGACGCTTGTTTTACAGAATATAATAACGCCTGTATGTAGGCGTCTTATCTTAGATATTTTGCTTATGCGCGACAAGACTATAGTATCGGTCCTGTCGGCAATTCAGTCTAGAACTCGACTCATTCGAGCTAAGTAGTGAGCTTGTAGTATAAATCATATTTTTTAAAACTAATAAAGTATAATATTCTCATATAAATCTAAAACGTGTATTCTTTTTATTAATAAACTATTAAACAACATTTGATTATCACCCGCTACACAGAGAACGGTTTCAACAAATTGTCGTCTTCGGATACAACCAGAGACACAATATAAAATATAACAGAACATCACAGGCATACGCAGTGGCGTTCATAACATTGGTGGCAGCGGTAGCCGTTTTCATTTTCTTTTCTGTGAAAGAAATTCTGTCTAGTGAGTGATATATTCAAATAATTATTATAAATAAAAAAAAAGTGAACACGAGTGAATATATTCATACGGAGGCGCTTTTACCTAAAGATTGGTGAGGAAACTATTCTATAGTCCCCGATATTTACGTCACACGCATCTACAAATACACCGTAGGAGGTGCTACTTGTTTTATACCAACTACGTAAAAAACGGGATCACCATATTTTATCGGTCATTATAAATACACAATCAACGCCTATTGTCAATACCAATACGCACATTTGTACGATAAGCTACACTACATCTCGTCTACATCGATTAATTAGTAAACAGAAATTAATTAATCGTTCAAGTTAAACAAAACCCACCAGTGTGGTCTCCGCGCATACCGGTTTCGGAGCGTAGAACTTCAAACGAAATAACTTGAAGACTACGTGGGAACGACACCGAGAGACGTGGCGAGTTCAACAAGGGATCCAGATAATCTGTCAAAGAAGTCAATTATTATGCAGTTCAGAGTAATAACAAAGACCGTCATACTGTAAGTAAAAAAAAATAATAATAACATAAATATTTTTAAATTATAATAATATTATTATCACTAACTTGAATAATAGAATAAAATTACTGTATTTTTTATTTTATCTTGACCTACTGACATAGTAACATAATTGTATTTTTTTTTTTATTATTATTGTCGTTTTGTTTTGTTGTTATTATACACTATAATAACAAACTAACACTTTTAATGTATGTCTACTCAATCAAGTAGTGGTAATAGTAGCAGTGATAGGAGCCCAGATACATCTACAGTAAATAAAGGTTATAATACTCCTATATCAAATAACTTTGACGATAATTTAAAATATACTGGCCCAAATACTAGGTCACGAGCACACCAAAATAAAAGATACCATAGGAAATCTAGAAGTGTAGAATCATTATTCTCTGATACTAGGGGAAATATTTCAACTTCAGTACCTTCGGATCAAATAGGTGAAGAAAATACACCAAAACAAATAAATAAAAATACCGAACTACTCGGTTTAAAATTTTTGGGGGTGGATAATTTGTGTACCATTTCCAAAATGAACAATACAGTTCTTTCATTAGAAACAGCCATTAAATTGGTTCCTTTTTTCAATGGCGAAGATTCAGCTGATATCTATCCTTATCTTAGCGCATGTGATTTCGTAATATCTAATGTCGATAACAACATAAAGCCAGTTTTGTTACAAGCTATTCGTACAAAATTAAGTAAAAAAGTTTTTGCGATAACTCAACATCGTGATGTAGAAGATTTTGCAGGACTTAAACATTTACTCGAATCAAACTTTTGTGCTAAACGTACACCAGGGTATCTACAACTTGAACTTACATCAACAAGACAGTCTCAAGGAGAGTCAGTTCATGACTACTCTTCAAAGGTTGAAAATCTACTCAATGAATTATGTAATGTGAGCACAAAGGGAAAATCAACCACAGATGCCACAGCAATACGTACATATATAAAGAAATTACTTTAACGACGTACGTAGAAGGAGTATTACCTCATTTAAAAACAGTGATTAAATTAAGAAACTTTGTAACACTGGAAGATGCAATGAAGGCAAGTCTTGAAGAGCAGAAAATTTATCAATCATCAAAAGAGACTCAACGAATACTTAAAGGAGGAAACCAAGGCAGAAATAACAATCAAAAGTATTGCGAAATTTGCAATTGTAATAATCATTTTACAAATCAATGTAAATATGGAAATCGCGGTCAAGATACTGGCCAACAAAATGTTCAATCAAAAGTACATTCAAATCCAAATAATAAAGATGTGAAAAAGATAACATGTGCTTATTGTAATAAACCGGGACACTCCGAAGATGTATGTTACAAAAAGAAAAAAAACAAATAAATCCAATGGACAGTTTTCGGGAAACGGGCCAAGACCGAGTGGCTCGGGCAACCAATCGGTCAAAACATTAAAAACAATAGCCTTAAACCTGCAAGAACCTTGTCATTCAAAATCAAATTAATTGATAATCATGCTTTATATAAAATTCCACAATGTACAAAATATATCGTAAAGCTACTTGTAGACACGGGGGCTGATCTTAATTTAATAAAACTAGGTGCTCTCCACGATGATGTTCAAGTATCAGACACAAAAATATTCATGTTACAGGGGATAAATGATCAAACAGTTAAGACCCTGGGATTTACAATGTTGACAGTCATAAATGGAAATCAATCTTCCGAAAGTGAATTTCATGTAGTTCCGACAAATTTTCCAATTATAGGCGATGGTATTTTGGGAAAACCATTTTTAACGGAGAATCAAATTGTCATTGACGTAGGAAAAGGGGAAATTAAATACAAATTAGATGACGTCACAACTATTCCAGCTAGATGTGAAACAATTATTCCAGTAGATGTGTCAGATCTACAAATTCAAGAACATCAGAACATACTAGTTTACGCTCAAAATATAAATAATGAAATAATATATGGAAATATATTAAATAAAGTAAAAAATCATCAGATTCTCATAAGTATAATTAACCCAACAGAAACTCAGATTGTGGTACCTACACCAAAACTAACAGAGTTATCACACGAAATAATAAATGAAGAATCAATAAAACATTTTATACATACTAGACTCTGTCCCACGAGAGATCATGCCGGTTCTGCGCATCTCCCTGCGTCTCCCTACTGTCGAAACTGGTTACCCTATGACAGGGCGTGGCGTAGGGGAACCAGTTTTGGTCGGTGCGCGGCATGATCTCTCGTGGGACAGAGTATAATAAGGTAACAAAAAATGAACAAAATCGGATTCAACTTCTAAAGAACTTTCTCAAAACAGATCATATGAATCTTGAAGAAAAAGTATCCTTTGAAGAATTATGCAGTGAATTTTCTGATATATTTTTTCTCGAAGGAGATAAAATTACTTGTACAGACGATGTCTATCACGAAATAAGAACACCAGGAACAACACAACCCATCTATCAACGACCTTATAGACTTCCATATTCACAGAAAGAGGAAATAGATAACCAAATTGAAAAATTGGAGAAAGATGGAATAATTGGGCCCAGTGATAGCCCATGGAATGCTCCATTGCTAGTAGTGCCAAAGAAGATCGATGACTCAGGTGGACAAAAATACATAGTTGTAGTTGATTTCCGTAAATTAAACAACCTTAGTGGGAGATGCTTTCCCAATGCTAGATGTCAATACAATCTTGGATAAATTGGGAAATGCAAAATATTTCTCTTGCTTGGACATGGTGAGTGGTTACCATCAAATTCCAATGCGACCGGAAGACAGACAAAAAACCGGTTTTAGCACCGAAAAAGGCCATTTTGAGTTCAATAGGATGTGTTTTGGACTAAAAGGGGCTCCGGCAACTTTTCAAAGACTTATGAACCAGGTACTTATTGGTCTCAACGGTGTGAAATCTTTTGTTTACCTGGATGATGTAATCGTTATTGGAACATCTATTAAAGATCACGAAAATAACTTACGAGATGTATTTAAAAGATTTCGTAAATATCATTTGCAACTTCAACCACTGAAATGTCAATTCTTAAGTAAAGAAGTAAGTTATCTTGGTCACTTGATAACTGATGAAGGTATTAAACTAGATCCAAAAAAAATATCGTGTGTAGCTAATTATCACACTCCAACAAATGCTAAAGAGCTAAAATCATTTCTTGGATTAATAGGTTATTTTCGAAAATTTATCAAAGACTTCAGTAAAATATCAAAACCATTAACATCTTTACTAAAGAAGGATCAACAATTTATATGGACGGATGCTTGTGAAGACAAATTTCAAACATTCAGAACCATATTGACCAAGGAACCAATACTTCAATTTCCTGACTTTTCTCGACCTTTCAATATTACAACAGATGCCAGTAATTGTGCAATAGGAGGAATATTATCGCAAGGAAACATTGGGTCAGACTTGCCAATTTCCTATGCATCACGCACATTAAATAAAGCTGAAATAAATTATAATACTACTGAAAAGGAGCTGTTGGCAATAATTTGGTCGGTTAAACAATTTCGTCCTTACATCTACGGTCGAAAATTTAACATCATAACGCACCACAAACCTCTATCATGGATGTTTGAAGTTAAAGATCCAGGCGCTCGTCTTACTAGGTGGCGACTTCTGCTAGAAGAATACGACTATTCAGTCATTTATAAACCAGGAGTTCAGAACACAAATGCGGACGCTCTTAGCAGAATAGCAGTTTCTACTACTTCGGCAATTGCGCCTCAATCGACTAGCGAATATAAGAAATTTCTTGAAGAAATATCCCAACGTGTCATTATAAACAATAATGTTACTGACACAGCGGGTAATTTATTCGATGCAGCAGATGAATACGCATTAGGACATCGTGTTTCTCAGGATTTTTGTATGAAAAAAGGGATAGGTCTCGAATTTAGAAGAAAATATGGTCAAATTAAACAGCTAAAAAATCAAAATAAACTGGTAACAGAAATAGCTTCGTTACAAGTAAATGGAAAAACTATTCTTTACCTAATTACAAAAGAAAAACATTGGCAGAAACCTTCGAATGAAAAAATGTTTTTAACTTTAAAAAATTTACGAACTTTCTGTGATTCAAATAAAATAAAAAAATTGGCTTTACTAAAAATATCTTGTGGAATAGATCAATTAGATTGGTCTGAAATACGCACAATGATTTGATTCCATTTTAAAGGCTCTGAAACCAAAATACTAGTGTTCATTGATGACACATATACAGAAGAAGATAAATATAAGATTATGGAAGAATTTCACAATTCACCACTTGGAGGTCATCAAGGAATTTCCAGAACAATCAAAAGAATTAAACAACAACATACATGGAAAGGATTGAAAAAAGATGTACAAAATTTTATATCGTCATGTCAATCATGCCAGCGAAATAAAACCCTTAATAAAACCGTCAAACAACCCATGGTTATAACAACTACATCTTCCAAACCATTTTAACGTATATTCCTAGATATTGTTGGACCAATTACCAAGTCTAAAAAAGGAAATAATTGTATATTGACACTACAAGACGATTTAACGAAGTTTTCTGCTGCATATCCGTTAGTATCTCATGATGCAAATTCGGTATCGAAAGCATTCGTTGAAGGTTTTGTATGCCAACATGGAATACCGGAGTCAATCTTAACAGATTGTGGTACAGAATTCATGGGTAAAATATATGCTGCCTGTTGTAAGCTATTGCAAATAGATAAACTGCACACGACACCATATCATCCTCAATCTAATGGTGGACTTGAAAGGTCACATCAAACGTTAGCCGCTTATCTTCGACATTATGTCGATAAACATCTTGATGACTGGGATGACTATGTACCGTATGCAATGTTTGTATACAACACTACAGTACATACAACAACCAAACACCAACCATACGAATTAATATACGGATTCCCTGCCTCAATACCACATACATTAAGCAGAACTCCTCAACCTAGATACAACTACGATGATTATGTCTTCGAGTTGAAACAAAAACTTCAAGAGTCACACAAACAAGCTCGAGAAAATATATTATTAAGTAAAGAAAAATCCAAAGAAACATATGATCAAAATCGACATGAAATTAACTTAAATGTAGGAGATCGAGTTTGGATAAAAAAATCACCAACCGAAAGGCAAATTAAGTCCTAAATGGCTTGGACCGTATTTGGTTACTCAATTAGAAGAAAATGAAAATGTCATAATACAAAAAGAACGAAGAGAAGTGAAAATACACATAAACGAACATAAACTGTGTGTTCAATAAAAAAAAAAAAGAGATAATATAATATCATTTTGTATTATTAAATTTAAGTGTAAAAAAAAAAAAAGAAAAATAATAAATAAATATTAAAATTATAAAAAAAAAATAAAGATAATAATAATATAATATATTTCATATATGAACTTGTAGTCAAATAATACACAATGGTGTTTCAGGATAATATGTATGATGGAATCTCTTATTAAAACAGAACCTTTGTACAACATCTCGTATGCAAAAGAATCACCAGGAATCTACTTCGACTACATCTCCGACATGCATACAACAGCTGCAAATTGGGAGATAGCAATATATTTAAATGTGTCCATTTATCAGGCACATTATTTACAAATCAACAATTTTCAGATTGAAACTCTAGGACTTTGCAATGAAGCGACCGAAAGTTTTTCAAATGAATGCAGTTTCTTATGCTTAAAAAAGAAATGTTATACTTCTGACATTTGTTCGTTGTTTAAGACTACATCAGAAAAAGTTTTGACCGAATTTGAATTTGGGACTAACAAATTACTCCAAATAGTTGAAGAACAGTATCATTCAAAACATAAACGTGATGTAGCCAGCAGTATAAAAGAAATGATATATACTCTGTTCGGGTCTATAAAAATAGACGATGTTTATAAATTATACTCAAATATCAGAACAATGATAAAAATGGACAGAAATCTTAAAATTTAGCAGAAAGTAAATTAATAATTACACCTGCGAATACTAATGATGCAATAATGATCAATAAACCAAGTATAGACGCAACGACGGAAATACAAAATAACATAAGACAAATTCGCCGATTTATTTTATCAGAACGAGAAGAGTTTAGTGATGAAAATATCAAAATTATATTGGAAAATCAAATTTTAAATCTAAAATTAATATATAACCAATATGCTTTAGAAATAGGAAAAATTATTCAAATCTTACATTCGGCTATGTATGGGAAGTTACACCCTTTAGTAATATCATCAAATCAATTATTAGATAAAATTAAATTGATAAAATTAAATCTTTCACCTGACTTAAACATTCCTGTAAAATTAGATGTATCTGGTATGTCTGAACTGTATAGAATAATGCAAACTACAATCGTTAAAAGTAATGATTTAGTTATATTTATCAATACGATTCCTTTAGTATTAAGTAACATGTATAAACTATATAATGTTCTACCAAACACGGTATATTTAGAAAATAATAGATTTATGTTTATACAACCTAGGTTTAAGTTTATAGCCATAACTATTGATCAGGAATATTTTATTAACTTAAGCGAAAACGATGTTAGTTTGTGTACTGATACAAACCGTTTTAAAATTTGTAAAAACTTTTTAGGCAAAAGGGTAGTGTCATCAAACGAATGTGAAATAAATTTAATTTCTTACTCAGATATTACAGAATTAGCAGATTTTTGTAAAATAAAATACACTTCATTTAAACATGGGATTTTTCATAAACTTTTGTCTTGAAACTCGTGGATTTTCACGGTAACAAACCAAAATGTAATTTTAACGTGTTTCAACAAAGATTCAATTACAGAAGTATTAACTGGATCAGGAATATTATCACTAAGCGAACAATGTTCCGCAATTTCAGGAGGTTATCGCATGATTCCGTTTAGAACAATTTATTCAGAATTAAAATCAGACTTCATACCAACTATGAATTTAACTAAATATATACATAATGTTAACACAATGAAAGAATATGTATCCCCAGAAGTAGTATTTTCAAAGTATAAAGATGATAATGAAGTCACTATCCCAAAAGATAATTTAGATTATAAGCAATCTTCAATTTATATAAACTATTATGTTATTGGTTTAATAATACTATGTTGTTTACTAATAATTATTCTGTCAATTATCACAATAAAAAAAATATTTAATTTTAAGAAAATTAAAAATGTCAATGTAAACCAACCGAGTTCGACAGAACAAAATAAACAAAACCAAGATGAACTTAAAATAAGAAAAGGAAAATCATTACCCAAAATAATTGTTTAAAAGTAGGATAATGATCTTCCGTCTAACCCGGGGGGGGGTGTTAAATGCCCACCACTATAGAGACTATAGAGACGCTTGTTTTACAGAATATAATAACGCCTGTATGTAGGCGTCTTATCTTAGATATTTTGCTTATGCGCGACAAGACTATAGTATCGGTCCTGTCGGCAATTCAGTCTAGAACTCGACTCATTCGAGCTAAGTAGTGAGCTTGTAGTATAAATCATATTTTTTAAAACTAATAAAGTATAATATTCTCATATAAATCTAAAACGTGTATTCTTTTTATTAATAAACTTGTTTGGGCTGCCGGCTATTCACTAGCATTTGGCCGGGCAACTACTTGAATAAAAGAAAGTGGTGTTCAGTTTTGGACGGGATAGGTGACCAATATATATATATAATTATAACACGGCGCAAATAACAGAAAGTAATATATTATGACGACAAATGTGCGTATGTTGGCCGGGAAAACGTCTTTTCCCGAGCGCAACTCAAAACAATAATAAACAATATAACTGATAGGGCAATAACGATAATAATAATTTGATTACCGGTCGGCACATGCGCCGTGGTAGGGCGGTGTATCGGCGGCGGCGACTGGAACAGCTGCTGCGGCGATGCGACGACACGGAGGTGAACGGGGAGCGGCGGCTGTCGGCGGCGGCTCCGGATGACGGCGAATGACCGGATTACGTAATGCGCGAATTACGTAATCACGGCACTGAAGCGGCGTCGCACGAGGGATATCCACACACGATAATAATAATGCCGGCGAACGATATACCCGGTACGAACTGGAGCCCGTCGGAATCAGACGACCAAGATGTATCGACACGAATTGACAAACAATACGGGCGCGAATATCAGCGGCAAACACGCGTCGGCGAGTATCGGTCGCGCAACGGGCAACCGTCGACGTTAATCGGTACGACGTCGAGAACGACGACAACGGCGTCAAAACACAATTACGTCGGATGGCGCGACAGCGAAATAATACGTAGAGCGAAATAATATTATATGTACAATGCGAACATGCGCGGGTAACTCGCACCAAACGAAGTTGTCGCAAAACGGCACCGAACAACGGCCGGACGCGACACACGCACGGTCCACTCAAATCGAGCGTACGAAAAAAACAAGCTTTTAGTCGCCGGCGGCGACTTGGCCGGAGCCCGGTGTCTGCGGGCCGCGCGACGCGCTGTCTCGCGGACCGGTTGCCGAATGTCGCACTGGAAGCGGCGGGAAGTTCAAACATACTCCCCCATGGGAGGCGCAGCTTCACATCATTCTTTGAACGCCGCCGATACTGAGACCTAGTTTATACATATTAAAGGGCCGGAATGCAAAAAAAATATAAATGTAAATAAAAAATAGACAAATTAAGTATATCATAAAATAACAATTATCTCAAAATGTGAGAATGGACACAATAAATATAATAACAGGTAACACTAAATACGTGGACAAGTGACAATAGGGTCACGAATAAATAATACAATAATAAATAACGAAAACCAACAGGTATGGCAAATAATAATTCGACATGATAACATAATAATTCAACGGAATGAAATAAGTAATAATTGAACAAAATACAAAACAATAGGCCGTATGGCAATTAAACATAATTAAATAAGGGGACCTGTACCATTACCAGGTAATAAAACGAGCTTGGCAGCAGGACGAGTGACTATACCGCGCGAGGTCAGAACGCGCACAACTCTCACCACACCATCCGCACCTGGTAGCACCTCGAGCACCCGCCCAAGTCGCCACTCCAAAGGGGGGGCTAGGCTGTCTCTGATGGTGACCATCTGTCCGACTTCAATGTTTGGTTGGTCGCGTGTCCACTTTCCTCTTTCTTGTAATGTATGTAAATATTCCGTCGACCAACGACGCCAGAAGTGCTGGTGACAGTGGTCCAACAGCTTCCAACGGTCCGTGAGCGGACGTTCCGGACACTCAGTAGTACGCGGCGGGAGCGCTAACAGCGGCTGGCCTATCAAAAAATGGCCGGGCGTTAGACAGTCGAGGTCGTGAGGGTCGGTCGATGCTGGAGTGAGGGGGCGTGAGTTCAGCACGGCTTCAACTCGACACAATACGGTTGTAAATTCTTCGTACGTGAACGCGTGCGCACCCATGATTCGTACGAGCAGTCGTTTACACGAGCGTACTGCTGCCTCCCACAACCCACCAAAATGTGGTGCACTGGGGGGATTAAACTTCCAGTCGCAGTAGGACTTCCCCGACGTAATAATAGATTGTGCTGCGGGGCTATTAATCAGCTGACGCAATTGTCTGTCAGCACCAACAAAATTTGTTCCACAGTCGGAATAGACCGTCGTAGGCAGGCCGCGCCGAGCGACGAACCGGTCGAAGGCGGCGAGGAAGGCCGGAGTGGACAAATCTGATACTAATTCCAAATGGACGGCCTTGACGCTCATACACACGAATACGGCTATATACGCTTTGTACGTCCTAGATTTTCGTAATTTATTGTCACGCATAGGTATAGGCCCGGCGTAGTCAACACCGACGCAAGAAAACGGACGACATTGCAACACCCGCGACTCTGGTAGATCCGCCATGACCGGCGTGGGGACGGACGCACGGAGACGCACGCACCGGGTGCATTGACTAATGACATTATGGATAACGGAGCGCAGCGACACAATCCAATATTGCCGATGTATCAAGGAGGTCATCACCCGTGGTCCCGAGTGACCAGTGATTTTGTGCCAGTGACGACATACCGGCAGCGCGAGGTACGACCCTTTTGCCAACAAAATCGGATGTCGACAATCGTACGGCAACTCTGAATGACGTAAGCGTCCACCGACGCGGATTATACCTTCGGAATCGACAAAGGGGCACAGCCGTGCCAACGGCTTGGATGCTAAACGGTGTAAATTTTGCAGGTCGCTGACTAATGTCGGAAATGTGACACGTTGAGACGCAGCGATTACCGCGCGAGTTGCACCGTCGAGCTCGGCTCGAGTAAGCGCATTCGATCTCACGACTGGACGTCGGCGACAAATATCGATAAACCGGCGCACACGCGCGACCACACGGATGAGTGCGTCGTAGGACGAGAAACGCGTGAACCATTCAACCGTGGGGGCAGCTAAACAAACTGCAGGTGACACAGATCTAACCTCGGGCAGTTCCGCAACCGGCAAGCGCGCGATGTCACTCCCCCATTCCTGCGGAGGGTCACGGAGAAAGGCGGGACCCTGCCAATATAACTGATGGTGCGGCAACTCAGACGGCATCAACCCACGGGACGCACAGTCCGCCGGGTTCAGCTCCGAACTGACGTGGCGCCATTGACAACTCGGCAACAACGTCCGTACCTGGTGAACACGGTTTGATACATATTGCATGAATGTGTCATGGGGCACAGTTAACCATGACAATACAATCGACGAATCCGTCCAGGCCCACATGTCAACGATATCGATGTGCGTATTTAATAATAAAGATATTCGGCTCATCCAGCGCGACAATAACACTGCGGCATTCAGCTCGAGCCTCGGAATCGATAACGGTTTAAGCGGCGCTAGCTTGGTCTTGGAACCGACCAACATAACCGACGTCGCGCGAGGGGCATCATGGATGCGCAAAAACACTACCGCGGCATAGCCGCGTTGCGACGCGTCGCAAAATCCATACAAC